TAATAGAAGTTTAAATCCAATTTTAAAGGAACCTCTTCAAGTGCGAGTGAACCAGCTCTCCCTCATGAAGTATCTGCAGTCCAGAGGCCGCGCTCGTTTCCCAGTTAAACCAGGTTGTAGAAGATTAAATCTAAGACGACGAAAAGGTTGCTAAAAAGACTCCCGAAAAACTTAGAACATCAACTGAAACTCAGCGGCGATTTATGTATTTTATTAAAAATGATATATCCTGGTATAAGATGCGCCTCTGTCACAGCCTGTAGAACCTTGTCTGGACTGCTGAGCCACACGAAGGCACAGTTCACTGGGAGATAAAATAAAGTCGCACTGAAATCTAAAACACCACATTAAGCCGCGACCTTCTGCGGCTAAAAATAGATATCTTTAAAAAAATACACAGCTGGCGCTGGAGAAGAGAGTTTTGTGCAAATGGAGGTCTGTCTTCAGTCCAAACGAGGGCTCCTTAATGTAGCTTTCGATCCGGGTTTAACTACTTGTTGCTGTTTTAAAGAAGTAATATTTTTTTTTAATTAAAGGCTGACGATATCGGAAAAAGCGAGTTAAAACAGCGAAGCAATTAAAAGTTCGGCTAACTAAGCGAGCAAACACGGGCAATGTTTAGGACGCTCCTATCGCTAATATTAGTTACCGCTACAATGTTAGAAGCCTTCTGCTGAGCTGTATCTCCTTAAACGACCTGAGCCACCCCGCCCCGCCCTACCCGCCAGACTAAAGCGGAGTGACTCACACCGTATGCATGTTAAATTGGAGCCAAGCCCGTGCCTGGCGAGGGGCGTTGGAGCACCGTTGCATTTCGGGAGTTGTAGTTTGTGTGCAATTGAATTCCAAAGTAAACTTTATTATTGTCATTCCCTAATGGCAAATGGACAGCGTCCAGTACAGGACTACAACATATTCTGTGAGATGTATGAGACGTAAAACCGAGGTCCCGACTCTCTGCAGTTAAAAATCCCAGGGCGTTTCTCGAAAAGAGTAGGGGTGTAACCCCGG